AGATATAATTGAATAAGGTTTTTACCGTTAAAAAAAAAAAAAGTTGATTCTAAATTGTCAAGCTAGCTAAATAATTTACAACTAATTGTATTAATTTCACCGTGACAATAAAAGTAACATTTAGAATAAAGATTACTCGCATCAAAATACGAATTCAATATTATGTATAGATTGGTTGCTGGATAGATTTACAGCAAATAAATTATCAATATTTTTGACGCCAAATCAAATGAAACAAAAACGAAATAATTTCTTTTTTTTCCAAACCCATAATTTTCATAAACACAGTGTATATTTGAAAATATTTAATTCAATTAGTTTCTAAAACTTAAATATGTAATTGCAGCCATAGGGCATACTACACCAATCGCGAACGACTCGACGATTTCTTCTCGAAATTATCCACACGACTGTACCATGCATAAAGAAACAGATATTTTTCAAAATGAACGTGCATACACTTTCTATCGGTGTAACGAGTGATTTGGATTCCACTCGGCCACACACAAATAATATTATTGTTTTGAACATTAAATATATGCACATCAATTAACACCACTGGAAAGTGGCGGGTTAAAATACACTTACTTTTGACGTACGTTTAAAAATATAGTTACAACCCATTATGACTTCGCACAAGTGTTCGGTTCGTACGTTGATAAAAGTCAGAGACGGATTCAAGGTCTAATTTTGGGGGGGAAGGAAGTTCTTCTGAAACAATATTATTCAAACGAGGAATAATATATCTACGGTCGTAAAGATAATGACCCGAAATGTTTTTATCTTGTACAAAAACGCATACGTACATATAATTGTAGTGTTGTGCTCTTGTAAAGTCCAATAGTGTCAGGGCCGAAGGACCATAACCTCCCCTCACTCAGACATTCTGAGAACGATAGTGAATCTAGTATTTACCTGTGTACGTATTCGCAAATGTTCTACTCGAGATCATTCCAAATTCTAATAATTATTAATAATTTTTAAATAATAATTATAAACCTTACACGTCGTAATATTTACAATTCTGAGAATATTCTACCAAGTGCAACTATGGCGTTCTGTGGCCAGCGAGAATGGGAAATCCGTTTGGTTTATTATTAGATTTGTTTTTGGTTGCTGTCATTATGTTATTTCAAGATATAATAGATAAGATATAAATAGGTATGTACATTGATTTTATAATAAAATATATTATAAAATCAATGTTATGTATAAGAATTAGAAATGGGAGTAGCAATAACAATAATTGGTATTATATTTTGTATTATCATATGTTGAGCCCGGATTTATATGCATTTGCTTGTTTGTACCAAGTGTATACACCAAGCGCGGATCCAGTCTATCATAACGGGACGGGCGGATTATAAATAAGTATACTCTATGAGTCGGCCGGGGCTAGCTGGTTGACGGTTGTCGATCATACGGTCACAATAATATTGTTCCATCGACTATTCATTAATTTATGTTATAAAAATAAAAAACGAAAATGTGTGATAATAACAATACATTAGAATGTTATTACGCAAGATAATGCAATATAATAGTATATCAAATTAATTAACATATTTTGATACAGCCAACGGGGAGGGGCAGTCGCCCCTACCGCTCCCCTTGGATGCGCGTTTGGTATGCACGTCTATAGAGGTTTAAAATGTCCACCAATCATATCACACCGAATTTAAACACCATATTTTATATTATTTATTTTGCATATTTCGAGGGTTATATGCATATTTGTTCATAAATTCATATAATATGCATATTTAATGAGTTTTTAATAAATTAACTATTTCAATTTACAGTAAATTTTGTAATCGCCTCGAATAGAGCTCGAATAGACATGATAGGTATTAAGTTTCAAAAATATTATTTTTAAAGATTTGTATTTTTTTTAAGTTTTCTATTAGTTATAATAAATTACTTATTCTATTAGTTTTTTGAGAGCAGGTAACTTCAAATGATCTAAAATATTTATAAAATCTAAAATATTTATTTGTATTCTCGTTTTTAAGTTTCCTAAAAGTTTTAGATTGATTTAAACGATTTAAAATATAAAGCAGTGGATATTATCATTCTTTTTTTGTTTTTGATAAAATATTTAGAATTTTATTTGGTATAAAAGTGTGGGTCTCTTAAAAAAAAAGACACATTTTATAAAGTGTAACATAATGCATATAATTACATATTTAACCACTTTTTCTTTACATATTTGCATCATATTTGACACTTTATAAATGTATATAAATCCATATGATTCATATGCCTTTGGTTATTGGTTATGTTTTTTTTATTTGTTTTAATTGCTGTAATTCCGTTGTTACATTGGAATACATATGTAATTTGACTGTCACTTACTTTTTTATTATTATTAATATTATTTTACCTATTTTATTATGGATCAAACATTTAAAAAATTTAAAACTTTACACTCATACTTTGAAAAGGTAAGTACTAGTATTGTATTTTGCTTTTTCTTTATTACCAAATCATTTATACTATGATTTATATATATGCTATAAATTTTATAACAGTCTTGTACGCAGTCAAAAATAATGAAAAAGTGATGGATATTGATGCTCTAGGAATTCCTGTGATATTATCATTAATAGTAATTTAATTTACATGTGAAATAATACACTTATATAAACTTAAATATAAATTTTTCTTGAAAATTTTAAATTTTAAAATTTTATTATTTTATAGAACAATTATAATATCGATAAGTATAATAAGAGTAAATAAGGAAAATATATTATTATGGAGCCCAAAAAAATATCAGTAATTAATGAATCTGACACAGACACAGTACAAAAAAAGTAATGTGGTAAGTAAATTTAACTCTGCATTCCTACAATTCTATTTATGCAATAAAATGGTATATCTAATATATTTATTTATATCTGTTTATAATCTATATTAAATTAACATTATTTATATTTTATTGATGGCTAATTATAAATTACATTATTTTAATTTAAATGATGTTGTTAATTTTATTTATGTTTTAGTAGCATACAACAATAGTTACACCTGATAATTCATCTGAAACACTAAAAACTAAACACACATTTTATCCAGACCATAGGCGTGCGCACAGGGGCAGCAAGGTGTGGTCTTGCTGTCCTTGGACGACTTGAATATATTTGTAAGGGCCGAACTGGTCCAAGCTGGGCCGCCACACCGGTAATGCTCAATACAAAATAAATTGTTTATTCAAAAAGTGTATTGCTACCAAGCTAATTTTTTCTGTGTTTAAACTTTAAATAGGCTTTGAAGCTTAAATTTGAACTTGAAATTCTTAACTTAATACTCATGAATGGGCCGGTAAAAATATTCGCTGCCTCCGACTTGAAATTCTGCGCACGCCTATGATCCAGACACTGGTCATTTTCTGAACAAAGAATATATAGATGATTTCACTAAATATGCATAATTAACAAACCACTGGACACCACCAAAAGATTACAAATTTCCTTTTTCAACACAAATTCATCAAAGAAAAGAAAAAAAACAAACCATATCTTTTTAACCATACATTTTTCATTGGCTAGTTGTGTCCGAAGTTAGTAAAGATTTATTTTATATATTTTCTTTTCTTTTTATCCCAATGACTGTAAATAATGCAATGCTAAAAAAATTAGTCAGGGAACCATTAGCAACATTTTCTAAATTAACTATTAAAGATGGATACTTAACTGTACATAATCATCATCTGTACCATATCAATTATTATATATATATATATATATAAATTAATTAACAAATTATTTATTTTAATGTCGTATATAAAATTTAAAATGTAATAAATATATTATATTGTATTACATATAAGTCCTCATCAGCTGACTCGCTTAAACTGACTTCCTGAAAAACTACTTCGTAGTAGTCTTATTTATTAGTATTTAGTAGGTACACACTTTTCAAATCCGTAGTATACATTTCCAATTTCGAACTATTCCACACGTGGTGTCGGGGTTCACTAAAAAATAGAAGCACCCGTTTTATCGAACGTCCAGTGCTCGACTTGTGGGCGGACGCAGGGAAACGGAGTACCCCAACTAATTTTCAGAAATTTTGGCGTTCCCCTACTAGTATTACGTTATAACTATCACGCTTAACAAGTTTTGAAGTAAACATAGTCGTCCTTCTTTAATTTCGCCAAGTCGAGCACTGCGGACAACATATCGTTCGAATCGGCGGATATCGCACGATTAATCCGTGTCACAAGTTGCACGCAGACTATCCGGGAAACGGGTGCACGTACAACACACACACACACACATGATTTACGTTTACGATCGGTGATCCATGTGCACAAGATTACGAACCGCATATCGGATGTTGGTACACAGAGTGTAATCCGTGTGCGTGCGTGTGTGTGTAAGGGCGTATTTGAGGGGGAGGCGAAGGGGGAATTGGCCCTCCCATTACTCGTATTTTTTTTTTAATAAAATACATTGATTTATTTAAAAAATCTAATGTATAAATAATTAAGAATATAAATTACTATTATAGAATTATCATTATAATATGTTATCATTATAACAGAAACAAGAGCTGTAGGTAATGAACTGTTAATTATTTTTAAGATTGTATTGAAGAAAAATTAATTCCTCCTCCCCCCCATGGCCTCAACATTAATACGTCCTTGTGTGTGTGTCGTCACAGTTGTTTACGCTAACGGATAAAGTTTCAGTCGGACTGCAGACATTCAAATGGAAATAGAAGAAATCCGTCCGCCCTACGAAAGCAAACGATAAAACTCGCTTCCCGCACCCTACCTGCTGTGACGAACGAGACGGTAAATGAAACGTTCGCCCCACCGACCGAGTGGAAGACATACACGGCTACGTAACGTAAATCGGTTGATACGCGCGCATGTGAGTCTGTAACGGACTCGTTTATTTATTTGTTTTTGTCAGGTATTTTTTTTTTCGGTCGTTCAATGTACATGTTTGTACGAAGGAAGATGCGTATCGAATATGTCGCGCAAAACTCACCTAAAGGTGACGGAGCACACATGGCCGCGGGTCTCGTGGTTGTTTCTCGCAGGGACACACTGTCGGCTACGTCGTCCTCGTCCTCGTCTTCGTCTTCTTCTAACAGAACTGGTGGCTGATGCATCAACTCGTATCCCCATCGCTGACGAAACTTTTTCGCCCCGCCATCAAGCCGCACCCTGGGTAGATCGACGAACAGCGAATCGCCGATCTACATCATCATATACGGAAGTCAGATACAAGTTTTACGAACGAATCTCTACAGACAATTAATGTTCATGGAGGAATAAAAAAAGCGAAACGTTTTTAAACGTTCACAGTGTACATAGGTATCGCTTAGAAATTACATATAGTTACACACGTCTACTTTTACCGCAAAATATTGTTAGTACAAGCTGCACAGGACGCGGGGCATGCTGCGTGTGAAGAAATGCAATTTATTTTCATATATTTTTTAGTAACTCTGCATTCATTCAGTATAAGTGCTGGGAAGTTGAAGGGTTTAAAGTACATTTATTAGTTTCACGACTTACGATTTTATTTTTTCCAAATAGGAAACGTTAATATTTAAGAAATGGCTAGTAAAACATGAGAAAATATGTTCAGCTTTTGTTTATTTTTAACACAAAAAAATAATTTGTTATAAAACCTTTTTAAGTTTTTAAATAAATAGTATTACAGTTTCCATTCATTTTGCAAGTATATTTCAATAATATCTGCTGTTCGAGCGCAGTTTTAACTTTAAATACATTTGGTTTGTTATTACAAGTACTGGTTGGACTAGAATTTCCGCTTAAATCTTGAGAAGAATATTTCAACATGATTTTTGACAATATATACTTATTTTAAATTAGGAGTTTCATGAAATAGATACTTTTTTTTACTTCGTTGGTTTTGAATATACAAAAACTGAAAACTACAACCAGCCTCTGCTCGAATTTCTGAATTACAAATGAAAAATTGTAAAGTAATAAGTATTGTATAACAACATCAAACATATAATTAACAATATACTAAATTATTATGTTTATTTTGATAACGTTTGTGTATCGATTTATCCTCATTGCATATTGTATTGTGTCATGTTTCACTGATAACTTAGAGACAGTCAATATCACTAGTATTATTACATTGATGTGTTATTAAAAAATACACTTTTCTATTAACTGAACATTTTTCAATATATATATATATATATATACATATATATAAATCATGATATAAATAAAAATAAAATTGAAAAAAAATTAAAAGAATACAATTTTAAAATAAGGATACCGATCTATCAATTTTTCGAAAATTACAAAATAAAACGGCTTTTTTTATGTTGCACTCAAACATAAGAATTTAATTAAATATATGAATGTTTTTAGTCATTATCTCTGTGAGTTAAATTAAAAAAAAATATAAAATAAAATTTAATTATCTTCATTACCTTGGTAAATAATATCCAAATATAATATAGTTGAAAATTCTGTACATAAAGGTAAATCCAAGTATTTACCATACAATATAATAAACAATGAATAACTGATGTTGTGTCCACGTATTAAAAGTATACTTGAGTATTTAAAACTAAAAATAATTCATGACTAACCAAGGGCGAAGGGGCATTCGCCCCTCCCCATGGCTCGTATTTTTTTTTAATATAATACATTGATTTATTTAAATAATTTAATGTATAAATAATTAAGAATATAAATTACTAATATATCATTATAATATAATAATACATTCAATAATATAATATGTCAATTTGGTCACAAGTATCATTTTTTGTTTATCTTCTTATATCATAACATTTTTGGTTGTAGAACGAATAGTGGTATTATCTTCCACGGATATTGCTACGGTTATAGACATTTACAACCATAACCGAGGCACTTATCAGATAATATAAAGTAATTTAAAGTAACACTTTTTTACCACATATTTACTATTTAGTCATTTTTTGATACATTTATGCATATTCAGACTGAAGGTACAATTTCAATATAAGAACTATTTGTGTTGATAATATTAATACTTATTTTATATGCAGTAGGTTTTAAATATATTTATTAAATAAATATTTAATTCAATTTAGTACTTGTATTTTTATTTATTCACTCGAATGAACAACAGGAACATGAGCTGTATATAATGAACCATGGCGTACTCAGGAATTTTTTAGGGGGGGGGGGGATCCAACATTTTTATTTTATCTGTTCTCTAATTATAATAATAGTTTAATTCAATACCAAAAAATTACTGTTAATAACTATAGTAATAGTCACAATTGTTATACACACATCACACATATTCTTCACACAATACGTAGGTACTATAATTTGAAATACATTTTTATTTGGTAGTAAAATGTTATAAAAAAATACATTATTTAATTAACAATGATAAACAATATTAAAAAAGCAGTATAAATTCCACATGGTTTATACATTATAGGTATATTATATAATCTATTAACTTTGAAGATAATGAAAAATTAAAATACACTATATACTATTTACTATTAAATCATTGAGTATGTTGAAATTTCAATGGAGAGGGTCCGGACTCGACCCCCCCCCCTGGGTATGCCCTTGTAATGAACTATAAATTACTCTTATTTTTAAATTTGTATTGAAGAAAAATCAGTTTCACCTCCCCCCTGTGGCCTCAACAACTCAAATACGCCATTGTGACTAACTGTACATTTCAAAACCTAATTTTTGATAAAAAATAATTTAATATACCATTTGTCTTCGAATAATGAAATAAAAAAATTAACTAGGATGTTAATTGTTATAAATCACCTTTTTTTTTTTAATTAATATCGATTTAATTATATTTATAGAATATATTTTATATAATTTACAACATTTATAAATGCATTAATATTTTATACTGACTTCTAAAGAAGTTGTAATCTTATGAACTTTGTATTTTTGATGAATTTTAAAAATGAACATATGGACTTATAAAATATATCATGGTGAATTGTATAATCATAATCTTAGTAATAACTGTACCCTAATGCTTAAATCATAGTATTCGTACTATCAATTAGAATTTAATTTTACAGTTATCTATATTTTATCTCTAAAACAATGCTTTTAAACATCGAAAAAATCCAAACCATAATTCATAGATTTGTGTTATGTTTTGATAATCCAAATTGTTCTATGCCTTGTGAAACTATTAATTCTTATGCATTCATAATATTTTAAATTTTAAGTGAAGCGAGAAATGTATTGTTTTTATCATAATGTGTTTTTTTATAGGTATTTGTTGTTCTAATTGTTTCAAATATTTTAAAATTTTAAAATTATATATAGTATATACAATATAGATTAATTGTACATTGAATCTTAGGCATATTACCAGAATGGATGATTTGTAGTAAAATTGAATTATTTGCATTAACATTAAACCAATGATATATTAAGCAGGACACGTTTTCACAAAATCAATTTATATTACACAACTCACTATAGTTTAACGTATTTTGCATAATATTATGTGTGATAGGTATATATAATGAACTATGCAATAAATTTAATTTTGTTGAATGTTTTAAACAATAAAATAAAATATGATAGGAATAATTTAATGATCCCACGCCAGTATAAAAAAGGCAAAGCATTATCATACATATTTATATATAGCATAATATAATCTATCTATATATTTATAAATCAAATTAAATCAAAGTAACAAAAAAAACAAGTTTTTTTTATGTACTTGTATGTACTTTTATATCTAGCAAACGAGATAAATCAATGACAATCTACTACATTGATATCATACGACAACATGAGTATTTCAATTTGCGGATAGTTTGGTCCGTAGGTAAAGTTCCGTATTTCCAAGTTTCATCTTTTTTTTTTAACGGTTTTATCGTTTCATGATCATAATTTAAAATTTTAAAATGCAGTTAATATTAAATAATTTTTAATGGCTTAAATTATTGAGAGTAATCGTGGGAAGAGAACACGATAATGAAAATTAAGTTTTATTCAATCAATTGATTTTAGATTTGGTGGAAAAGAGAAAGACACATTTTTAGAGAAAACGTGATATGCTCGATAAATCAGTATATGATACAAAAAAAAAAAAAATAAAATTCACAAAACAAAATATAATTTTAAAATCTGTAATTATTGCTAAATACTTCAAGATCTAGGTTTAACATTTTATAAATCAGAACCAATGATATAACTAGACCACGTGAGGCACATGTGCGAATCAAAACTTTGAGGCCCCTAATCATCAATCATTTTTGAGCATTTGAACTTTTAAGGCCCAACAATTTATAGTTCTAAGCCAGGGGCCTGCATACAATGTACACTCTGCACACCCGGATTTTACGGAACTGATCAGAACATAAAAACTAATATTAACATTCACGTTCACACCATTTACTAATTTTTTTGTTTGTTTTAAGTATATATATATTTTTTAAATTGTTAGTAAATTCGAAAAATAACATTTTTAAAATGTTCATCGTTAGTTAGATCATGATATGTTAAAAAACATTGCTTCTATAAATATAAATGAGTAGACATAAAGAAAAACTATCTGTATGATTCCTTCAATCAGAAATTAAAATTAAAATTATACATATGAGGAAATTGTTATAGATTGTTTTAAATAAAACAGAAATTATTTTTTATAAAAATGTATAATAGTATAATACTGTTGATTGTTATAAAGTTTAGATAGTGTCATTTATGTAATGATAAAATAATTTTCGCTTCATCGGTCATTTAGATAATATTCAATACTTTACTAGTACATTACATATACTAATTTCTAAATACGACAATTATATTTGTTTCTAAATATGTTTGATTGATAAAAATCGATTGATAAACAATAGATTGTAAAAATTGAATAAGATTGTTATTTTATTAAATTATGTTTTTGTTGTATAATAAGTTTGAATTAATTACATTAAGTATCGTTTATTGATAAAACAATGTAGCTTATTTGAATAGTTAATATAATATCCAGGATGAACGAATTGTTGTCTTTGTTTCTTTTGCGGAAGGTGAATATATCAACAGTAATTCTTCGTTTATTTGATCTGTTGCCGTCCACCGTTTTATCCCTTTTTGCTCATTGTCTTAGTGGAACTTAATCAAAAATATATATTATATCTATTAATGTTTTGGGTATCGATTTAAACTTTACTTGATTGTCATTTGCCACTGATGTTTCGACTTCAATTCGATCTCCTACCACCTTCGTGGATTTTCGTGGATCAACTGGTAATTTGTATGGTGCAAATTCAGAATTTGGTTCATTATTATTCACTTTTATAGCCTCTGGTTCTATGGATTCTTTTGTCCGTGCGTTTAAATATTTTTTAATATATTGGAATGCTATATATTCTACTAATTTATCAACATTATTATTAAATTTCGTCGATATATTTTCGGATATGACAGTGTTTGGGTATTCCGAGTCGATGTTCTCATCTTCCAATAACAATGTTTCTGGATCAAAAGTATCGTTATCTACTATCTCTATAAAAGCTAAATCATTATTAACTGTGGTCTCGGTTGATTTTGATGGTTCTAACACATAATTCATGTTATCTAATTGGGAATCAACTGGTAATTTATATGGTTCGTTATTATCCACTTTTAAAGCTTCTGATTCTATGGATTCTGTTGTCCGTGCGTTTAAATATTTTTTAATATACTGGGATACTACATAGTCTACTGAATTATCAACATTATTATTAAATTCCGTCGACAAATTTTCGAAGAAGATAGTGTTTGGGTGTTTCAAGTCGATGTCCACATCTTCCAGAGAAAATGTTTCTGGAATCATGCTTACTTTTTCGGTCTGTGTTTCTGTGGATTTTGTTGTTAATAGGTTTTTATATTTATTAAAAATTAGGGTTACGAAAGTGCTTGGGTATTTTGAGTGGCTGATAAAATCTTCCAATAATAATGTTTCTGGATTCAAGGTTACTCTTTCGGTCTGTGATTCTGTGAATTCTGTTGTTGGTACTTTTGAATATTTTTTAATATATTTGGATGCTACATATTCTAATAATTTATCACCGACATCATTAAATTCCGTCGATATATTTTCTGACAATAAGTTGGTTTTTGGGTATTTTGTATCCATGTTCTGATCTTTCGTAGATGAAAATATTTCTTTAAACATGGGTAATCCGACCATAAATTTGCCTTGTAAAGCGAGATCGATCATCTTTTGCTTGTAGTTCAAATTTTGATTAGTACCAAAAGGTTTGGGTACGGCAGGTTTAGACAAATCATCTACCTGCTAAAACATAAATGTATCATAAATAATATTAAAGTAAGTAAGTATTGTATAAAACGGGTGGGACCCGTTTCGCCCAAACTAGTTCAGATAAATTTAAAATTAAGTTGGCAATGGTTCAGTCGAATATTATATTTTAGCGAACGATAAAAAGAAATGTTGCTTATTTGGTAGGTACGCGCTTTACAGACAACTACAGTATGGGTCACAAAAACGTGCGGATGACCGCAGCGCGTCGGGTCGATTTTTTTAAAAACCAGTGTCCCTCAAAATTTATCACAGGTGTGTCATCGCTGGCGCGACAGGTACTATACGTTTTAAAAAAACTACGTTGCACCTTTTAAAAAGTCTCCCTGTATTTTTTTTTACTCTAAGCGTATGCAGTTCTGGGTTCTATTATGAATATAAAAATACGAGTTATAAATTGTATATTTGGCGTCAAACAGTTTACCCACCACCAACAAGAAATGGCCACTGGGCGCGCGGCGGTTATCTGCATGTTTTCGTGGCCCATGCTGTATGCAAGTTACTGCTCCCGAAAAGACGACTGTTATAAAACCTATAATAATTTTAGTCAAAATAAATATAATTTATACATAATTAAATATATAAATATATAAAATCGCTAGCAACAAAGTGATAACACATAAGAAATCCAGCCGTTATCGAATATAGATTCAGAAAAATCTGTAAAGTGCATACCGAAATATTTTTTATAAATATTGTGTAAATTTGATTTTTAATAATACGTTTTAATAAATATTGTGGGCAAAATTTTAAATTTGTTAAATGTACCATTTTTGTAAATTGAAAAACTATGTTTTTTTTGGAGAACAAAAAGTATCACCTTCTCGTGGTATTCTCTGGATAACGCTATATGAACTCAAATTTTACAATATTATATAATTTAAAATAAAAGTATATTACGATATTATATAATTGAAAATAATCATTGCCAACTAAATTTTAAATTTATTTAAACTAGTCTGGGTGAAACGGGAATTTTATAAAAACAAAATTTGGGCGAAACAGACAAGGTCATTTTTGGGTGTAACAGGCTATGCCCTATAAAACTAATGAAAATTTGATTTTCTTAAATTACCTGATTTGAAGACGGAAGTACATTTGAACCCAATTGTTCATTAAGATTTGCATCAACAATTCCACAAACAAATAAGACACACGCAATTACAATGATACGCATTTTGAAAAATTTATTTCACTGTAAAATATATATTCTATTAATAATTTAGTTTACAAATAAAATAATTGTTGTAGTTAATATGATATAAAACCGTTATAATATAAAAAAATCTATCATTCTATTACAAATCAGCAGATAAGATTTTATTGTACTTTATTATTTTATGTTTAGTATATATTTAAGGTCAAATATTTTTAAAAATTTTAAATTTACCTGAGCTTATAAGAAAAAACGTAAATAAGTTAATAAAATTCACATGTTTACATATTAAAGTATTCATGTATTTTAAAATAATTCATAAAATATTATGCCTTAAACGTATCATATAGGTTTACATATTGCCATTTTCCACAACGACTGAGTATGTTTTATATAATATTAAAATAAAGTATGAATACGTCATTTGTAAATTATATTGGCTAATTTATTTTATGGATAAATGAATATTTAAGTATGAATATTAAGCTGTTTATGAAAATACATAACTTAAATTCGTGCTTTTATTTAATACACATTAAATTATTATTGATTACAATATATATATAATCAAGTATAAATAATGCATAATTAATATAAATCTTTTAATATTAAGATTTTAACTATTAATTTTAATAATTGTATAAATAAAATTTAAGTCAAAAAATAAAAAATGTATAGTATAATATGGTTTTTTTTTAGGCAATATCTTATTGATTATTATTAATAAGAACCAACAATCTATAACACAAGACCTAATCTCCACTAATTAAAAAATACATATTAATAAATTCAAATTGTATATGTGAATCATATAATAAGAAGACTTAAAACCCTTAACAATTTCCATATGATTGTTTAACTAGCAGTGATACAGTAAAAATAATCAGTTTTATTTTTTTTAAATTATAACTAGTGAATGGTATGATACAAATTTTAGTTTTTCACAAAAAAATAATTTAAAGATGAAAAAGCATTTAATTTATTAAAAATTGAATACTCTATTATGTACTATAAAAGTTGTATCACTGATATTAATTGTACTTTAATGGGGTGAATTTAAATATTTTTTGTATATGACATTATTACAAATTAATGATTAATCCTGTATTTTAATAAAAGCTAAGTTATTTATGGGTGTTTATTGGTTACTTATTAATGAATTCCAGTTTCCAATAGAATAATCAACACAACATTAAAAACATCTTAGAATAATTTAAATTAATCAATAATAGGTTTTATAATTTATGCCAATTTCAATTTTTAAATTTAACAGTATAATGAATATTGATAATTATTTAAACTGTTTATGAATTATGTTATTTAATGATAATATATTATACAACTCATAAAACGTAATTCAATCGCATTGCTGTAATGTTTTAAGACAAAAGAAAATATTAAAAAATAAATAAAATAAAAAAGTTACCTAATGTAATAAATATGTTTCTGTTAAATTTACTAGAAAAAATACATTTTTTACACTTTATAAAAAATAAACTTTCTGTCCATGTTTTAGTCATATTTTAATATGTTTCTTTCAAAGTCTTATTATTATCTTGAAAAATAAGTAGATACCAAAAAAGAACTATAGATACCTAAATGTAGTTTAATAATTAATTATAAAAATTCGGTAGAATACTGATTTTATATATAAATACAGTGAAAACTCTTTATAACGAATCTGAAGGGACCAAGAAATTTCTTTCGTTATAGAATGTTTTTGTAATAGAAAGGGTTTAAAAAAAAAAATTTAATTATTTTTATATAAAGGTATAATTGTATATCAATCTAATATTATTTATCATACATATTGTATTTACGCATTATATTTTATACAATTACTTTATTTAAAATAATCTGTCATTTTTGTTTGGACTTGTTTATTTTGCATGTATTTTTTTTGTATTTTTCTATTATTTTGTCCCATGTTTTATGATAATTTTGAATCATCTTCATGAAACAATAAGTACTATATAATACAATAAGGTTCTTCTTCTTTTTACTCTTACTTGCCTTTGGTCACTGCATTTAGGATTTCTTCATCGGTTAACGATATTGTAGCAACCAGGTTCTCGTATATTTCTACATAGTTTTCTAGATCCTCACGAGTAAAATAATGGTGAGTATTGAACTGAATAATTCACTTACTCAGTGATATATCATCTTCTTTCTCAATCTTTTACAAATTGTTCTATTTCTTCTTCAGCATTGGCAAAACTACTTTGAAGTCGAGCATGACGAAAAGAATACCGTAAAGTTTCTGCTGTTACCTCTTTCCAGGCTTTATTTAGGAAGTTCACCACATTAAGCATATTGATAGAAGCATTGCTATCAGATTCGATAATTTTCATCAATATTTTCATTCTATAAAGGCCTTTCAAACTTTTTACAACATTAGGGTCCATCGGTTGCAAGATACTAGTTGTGTTAGCTGGGAAAAATGTAATTTCTATGTTCATAAGATTAAATAGATTGGAATGAGAAAGACAATTATCCACGAGTAACAAAATTGTTCACCCCTTTAATTCTACATCCCATTTTTTTATTTCTTCTTCAAAAGGTATTGATGTCATCCACGCTGACTTATGTTAGATATTATGTCAATAATAAAATAAATATATTTGATAAAATAAATATATCTGATAACGATAATAACGATTTATTACGATATTAAAAGTAGATAATGAAAGAATGTAATCTTTCTTGAAAATTTCGGCATCATTACCTATTAATTTTATAATTTATAATACGATAACATGTAAATTGTAATAGGAAACATAAAATATTTCGTTATTGAGAGTGACTAATATACGTTATAGTGAATGAATTGACTAATGTGTTTAAAGCAAATCAACCATTATATATATATATATATAGTATTTGTGTTGTATAAAGTTTTTCAATTTAAAGAGTTTCGTTATAAAGATTTTTCACTGAACTTTTATAATATACAAATTTACTTGTAAAATAAATTATATTTTATTGCGTTTGTTGTACTTATTTATATGAATAAAAAAAAATTTAACATAAACCAATTAAATCTTAAAATTTCCTGAGTTTTTAATATTACGTAAAAAAATATATTATTATACATATTTTGAGTCATTAAAATACTTCATGTTATGAAATAATCAATAAAATCAAGAATAACACGAAAAATTAATGCAATTTTCATCTTATTTTTCAATTATTTATAGGAAAAACTACTGAAAAAAAATCAAAAATATTAACCTTTCAGGCTAAAATGTTGCAGTATAATACTTTAGATAATGAGCAAAAATAACAAAAAAGTACAGAAAATAAAAACTTCAACATAGAACGAATATTATTAATTATTTCGATCCTCTCAAAATCCAAAATAATCAGTATTTTAAGTATCTGATGTGTTTTAATATGGTATATTAATGAATTAGATAAAATTTACAATGTTATTGCTGAATTATGTTAATCTTTGAAATCATTCATAATATACATTTACGAAAAAAAAATTTATATATAAATAATAATATACATTAATTTTAATAATAAAATATTTTTCATTTATCTAATAAAAAAGTAACATAACTCTAAAAATATTATCGGATATTGATTGATTCGCTTAATTTGTAATACAGTTTTTTTTGTCCTCTTCAATTAATTTTAAAGAAAGTTTTATTAATCTTAGCCTAAACGTTAATGTAATAAAAGTAGTAAACTTACCTTAAAACATATACTTGAAATACAAGGTCGATTTGATTTTTCAATTATATATCAACACTCTAGTCGATGGTTTCATTCGCACTGATTTATAATTAATTTATATTACAGATATAACCAGTACTGAAAATAATTTGTATATATAAATCTGTAACTAAACTCAATAACCTTTATAACCTACGAACTATAGATTCCTCACTTGTCCAATCGACGCTTGTGAAAATATATAAAATGGAATTTTAAATAGGTGCATCATGTAATTCAATATAATGATAACTATCCCACTATATTACAATCATCATTAATTGTTTTCTTCGTGACATTATACAATTACCATTGTTAATTATTCATAACGTAAGCATTATCTTATTCAATATAAAGATCGAGTTGAGTCACTATTATACTAAAAAAAAACAAATTATGTGCCGTATATCATATATGGTGGTAAAAAAATTGATTTACTAATAATATATTACTTGTATGTACTGAGTATATGTAATTGATACCAGCAGTATTTATAATTATTAACAATGTACAATTATTAAATATTTACATTTTTTAATATACGGTAAACCATTTTAGAGAAAAAATTGTTAAACTAAATAATGTAATAAAATAATCTATTCAGATTTATTTTATATTACATATTTCAAAACAACTAATGTAATAATCCTAACAGTTTAATAATAACTATGTGTAATAAACATATTCAAAACATAGGTATGTAATAAAATACTTACAATTATAGAGTCCTTAATATTCAATATTAACAAAATAATTAAACATTTTTCATTTATATGTAGTTATAAAATATTATTATTAGCAAATACTAGAGATGTCTAGGTAATTACTGAATAACCAAAAATTCGATGTTAAAATTAAAACTTGGCCTTTACCCGGTTCCCGGCAAACATTGAATTTTTACTCGGCCAATATTCGGTACCTGGTTTGTAATCAATTTTCTACCATCTCTAGTAAATATAATATTACATATTGTCCAAAATGAAAAATTATAGTAGTTTTATATAAAAAATATTATCTTGTTAATATAATATGTTTAAATGTTTTATGTTTAATGATTTAATATGTATATTAATAACTTTCCTCGCACTAGCTCCAAGTTTCCAGCAAACTAAAATGCTAAAAACTGTTAATTATGTATTAAACTATAAAAAAAATAACAGGATTGTATCCATCTGCAAATTTTTATATTTTTTTTTATAAAATACCATTTAATTTTTAGACCGATTGGCCGGAAGTTGTGGAACTTGTATAGTTTTTGCTTTGTACTTATTAAGCATTTATCATTTGATGTCTGTTTTAATTTTTTACTCGTTGTGGTCACAGAAATTTGATCTACATTATAAATAGAAAAAAATCATTTTGTGAAAGGATCTAGCCCCCACAACCAGTGCCGGATTAAAAATTTGTGGGCCCCTAGGCAATTAAAATTTTAGACCCTGCAAAATTATTTTTTACTTACATCTTTAATATTACTGTCCAATAATTAAAATAAACAACATTAATAATAACCGACTATTATTAATAAATAAAATCTTATTTATTCAATTTTTTTATTTGTAAGAAAAATTAATTAGTTATTACATTATTTCTATTTTATTCAAAATAATTTTATTATTATTACTGCATATAACAACTACAACTTAACATATGTATATTATATTTCACAATGGCATTTGTCCCGTAAATTTTTTTAAATAAAATACGAGTATTATTAAATAAAGAGAAATATGGTTTTCCGTTTTCACAGGGCCGCTTAAATTAGTGAGGCCCTAAGGCGGGCGCCTACTCCGCCCAACGGGTAATTCGGCACTGCCCACAACATATCTTAGTTTACACCCAGGTACCGACACATGGTAAATAAATAAGAGGCACAACAATTTTAATGAGTTTTCACATAATTATGTAGTTTGTGCATATGACACGTGTCCAAATAAATATTATTGCTTATTACGTATCAATCATAATGTTCCAATGTTTCATTAATAACTTGTTGTTTGTGGATAAGTTAAATTGATATTGTATAGCTTATTTTTCTTGATAAATATGATAATTGGTTATTATAAAAATAATTATAATTTTTTTTAATTATTCACGATGTTTATAAAATAAACATTTAATGGATCATCATGTCCTTTTACGAAAATTCTTCAAGTATATTTTACAAGTCCACATTATACCCAGTTCGTAATGAATATTTTATATGATTTTAATAATGAAATTTTTAGGCAATTAATACATAAACTTACTATTGAATAAAACATTTACAATATAAAATCATGTAAATTTAATATTTCGTTCAATGGCCATAGTTGTAGTGGAGTGTTAAATAATAATAAAAAAAAAATATTTACAGCACACAATTATCAATTTTCTTCTATTAACTTACTTCTTAGTTTGAAATAGTTTATCTAATTTATGATTTTATTATAAATATATATTTATTGCTTCGTCATTAACACAACTAAGAATGTATAAATATTTACTAATAAAATAAACAAAAAAATATTTTTAAACAATTTAAACAAGTTTATAAGAAAGTAAATGCTACAATTATGTAAATTAATCATGTACGATGTACATTAATCATTACAAACACAAGCACAAGCACAAGCACAAGCACTATAAAAGCGAATATAAAAATAGGTAATCAGAGACTATTAATATTTGTATATTCCATAAAAATAACACATTTAAATTAACATAATGTATTTATCTTTAGTTAGCACTTATAGGCATATAATTATAAAAATATATTATTGGTATGTTTCATAAATGAACATTGAAGTCTCTGATTTTCCTAAAAAAAAGTAATACATTCTATTATTTCCATAAGCACCAACCTTAAAAGCGTGCGTTATTGTCCTTAGCGCAGTCCCTGGGAATATCTAAGAAATAAAATAGGAAATTTATTAATAAATTATGTTAAATATAATTTAATCAAAACTGTTAGTAAGAAGATGAGCGTTTTATCTTGGAATAATAATAAAAAATAAATCAGCATTTACAGATAATTCTTCGCTTCTATATGCAGTTAAAGTCTGTTCGTCTTGTAACAATACACAAAAGTATGGTTCCCAGGTGACAAAGTTCAATTTTTTATCTTTGACTACATTTGCTGGCCGATGACCAATCTGTAGATCGCGATCTGCAATTAAAATAAAGAAATAATGAAAACGCTTATAGAAATTCAACATTAGTTCCATCTAAAATTAATTTTCACAAGACACATGTAAACATAGACATGTGTTAAGTACATTTGGGTTTAATTATATCTCTTGTTTGATTTATTGGATTAACGCCTGATAGGCTCAAGGACAGAATTATAATACAATATTACACAGTAAATAATTATGATAGATATTAATAAGTAAAATATAAACAATAATATACATATATGAGAATTAAGTTGTGAACAATATAATAATAAGGTGTTTTAAAATTTGAATTATGATACAATCCAGTGGTGTAATTGTGGTGAGGGGGCAAAGGGGGAAAATACCCCCTCTGACCATTTTTTGAGAGATAAAGGTATAATTTTGCCTCCCCCCAGATAATCCAACAGTACAAATAGCACCTTTTATTAATGAACTCTTACGGATATTATTTAACAATATTGGTACCTAGTACATGCTACCTACAATTTATGTTTATCCAAACCATAAAATGAGTTAAAAGACTTATGTAAAATCAAACAATTAGATATAGTATATAAAATACATACAATAAAAATATATTTTAACTGGTGAGGGGGAAGGGTGTCAGGGTTTTGGTAATAATAAATATATTATATTCCCCCTCCCTAGGTTTTTTCCCAGTTACACCACTGATACAATTAAAAATTAGAGCATTGATACTTAAGGTCTGATAAACTATTAAAGAAAAAATCAAGTTTTGATAAATTGCTTTTGACAAAACGCCTATTTAGAGAACTGAATTGGACTAAAGAACAATAGAGGACTGTAAGGCATTTTTTATCTTCAAAAGATTTGGTTAATCTAAACAAGTAAACCCTGTGTTTTTATTGCTTTTAGATAATTTTTTTTCAATACGAGTTGAAAGAAGAAGATTATTCTGGAAAATTATATCAAGATTTCGTATCTTGATATCTAAACAAGTAAAATCAATAGTAATTTTTTGTTAAAAAAATAAAGGATCCGTAAAAACATTTGAATTTTCATTATAGTCGATTTATTTAAGATATCGAAGAATAACAAAACTCATAATTTCATTAGTCATAAAAAGCTATTCACTAAACTTATTCAGCTACCTACACAATTCAAATACGCCACAATACTCACTGTGCAAATAACGTTTAATATGATTTATTTTACAATAAATGGTGTTCTTAATTGTTATTTTCCCACTGCATAAACAAGTAGCAAATATTTTTAGCTGTCAAAATTTATTTTGCGAAATAGTTCATAGTGTCCATTTTGCAAACTACCACTCAAAATGAATAACGTGTTCATTGACAATTATTTTTACGAATGTATTTACTACCAATCATTATTGTTCGGTACTTGGATGACAATAAATTTAAAAACCAATAAGGTAAATCAAATTTTAATTAGTAATGATCAACAGATAAGCGATGGGCAAACTGTTAATAATGATAATAATATTGAATATTTTTAATATGGATTGTGAATTCAAAAAAATAAGTATACTTTTTTTGCAGGTTTTAGCGTATACAATTTCTTTTTTATGGTGTTTTTCTATTGTCGGAAACCAATTAGATTATGTTACGAAACCTTGGATGGAAGAACATAAAGAGGTAAGACAAAAAAGTCATATAATTAATTAAAATATCTATTTACTATCTATAGAACTTTTACTGAAAATTATTTTCAATAAATTGTGAGTTTAAAATAAGTGATTCACTAGTTTCATAAATCATAAAGTTCTACTGATATGAAAGTAAACAATATATATGTCATTTTTAGGATAACCTAATCTTTTCGAATATAGATAATAACTGCAAAGTAATATGTTTTAACTTTGAATACCTCATTACGTACTTTTATTATAGGCTTAATAGCTTAAAATAATACTTAAAAAGCTATAGACGAATGTTCAAATATATTGAATAATTATTAACTTAAATTACATTTAAGCTAGAAGAATGATAATTTTACATGATTTCAGATAAGAAAACTAGACATGACTTTTGAAAAGTTAATACTTCTTGACTTTTGGTCCTACAATGTTATTTATTTTCTCAGCTGTTTTTTGTCATTGGTCGGTAGAAAAATAAACGTAAACACATTGGAAATGCCAAAAAGTATTAGAAGACATTGCAAATAAAAAAATAAAAACAAATTATAATATATAAATATATATACCTATACATAATAAATAAGTATTTTCACAGATTTATTGTCAGACGTTTGGAGATTAGTAATCGTTTTTACTTTTGTCTTCGGAAACCTAATACCAGCATATTTTTCATACAACTTTCAAAATATACAAAAAAAAACCAATTCCGCGTACAATCTATTATTTCAAGTAGGTCAAAATCTGATTGAACGGCCAAAATGTGTTTGTGAATATGTAAGAATCATGTTCATTTAGGATATCTGTAAACTGGGAATATTGACGGTAGACCTTCAATTCGTGTGGTGCTGTTGGAGCCTTAAAGACAGATTTTTAAAACTAAACGACAGTTTGCAGAAAATCGTTTCTTCCGAGATACCGACCGCAGCGAAAGCAGCTTGGAGAAAAACCGTGGCTACTAGAAATAACTATAGATGTAAATCCGCGCATCAATCCTCTCCCCTTTTCTCTTCTTCAAAATCACATAATATATTCATTTTAACGTATTATGATAAGTATTGCGTATCGGAAATTAAGTATAACGGTTGATTTAAATCGTATAAATTAATATATTTTCAACAGACGAAATTTATCAAGCGAACATTGCGTATGCCGAGTTAATGGACGGCGTAAAAACCGTTAACGGTGTGTGCGAGGAACGCATTCTGATGAATATATTATGTTACATGTTTAATACGATCTGTGGACTGTTCAACACGATATCTGCGTACAGGACCCAAGGGACTCCACTGCTCTTGGTTATTGTTCATTTGTTGTGGGTAATAAACTGTGCCGGTAGAATAACTCTCGTGTGTTTCGCGGCTTCATCCGTCGTCGAGCAGGTGCGACACTGCAATGCGTCTACCACTCCTTGTCTGCTGTATAATAATGCGGCATAAAATGACTTTCAGGACGACCGTTTGCACACCTTAGCTCAGATCACGAAAGAAGCGTTGGATAAGAAGAGTAACTGTTCTGAAGTAATGCATGAGTTTATATGTATTTTGTATATGCACATGATATATCCGATACGTCTCAGTCGTTAAGCATTACGTGTATTATGAAATATTAATAATAGTATTGTTTCAGATGAAACAATTCTTGCAGCGTTTGACGTATTGTAAAGTGAAATTCGAAGTTTGTGGTATGGTGACGGTAGATAAAACACTTTTATCATCGGTAAAAAAAAAAAAAAAATCAACCCTATTGGCTATACTGTTAACTATACAACATATATATTTACTGTTTACATGTGCATACCAGTGGTGTATTTGAGATTTTTCTTAAAGGGAGATATCTACTGGCTAATTACTCTAGCAATACAATTTACATGTTTTTACTTTTTAGTTATAATGTATAATTCAATCAAGATAAATCAAATGAGAATAAAATTGTTGATTCTGATACATAGCTTAAAACTATAGACAATCATTAAAGACAAAAGTAATATTGTAATTGGAAAATACATATAGAAAGGAAAAAGAAGCTCAAGGGGTCTAGATACATCACTGCATGTACATGCATCATTGTGTAAGAAACATTATTTGTACGATATAATATTTTCTAGGCCGTAATCATCGTCATTTCGTACTTGGTAATAGTCTTGCAATACAACTACAGCTAAATCACAGTGAACTAGTCAACAGTAAACATGTACCGGTTCAATTCTCACGTATATTTACGTTTATTCAAATTCATTGTTGGTCGTCATTATCATACATACACACACACACATACACACACGGTTTTATTAACTTTTCGTTCGTTATTGTTGTTACTCGTATGGGCATTACTATTTGAACGGTTAGGTTGTTCACAACATATTTTTCGTGAATTGTATGTGGATTTTTTTTTTCATTTTTTTCTATTGTGACTCTCAAATAAAAATTATTTTAAGTATTTTACAAAAAACGTTCTTACATATCACCTACATGATGCATGTTAAGAGAACTTTAATTTTTCATCGTGACACACTGACCCGATACTAACCGCTATTTAACTGTTTTTAGACACTACAATATAATTCATTTAAAAATTTTAATATTATAAAACGCTATAATATCATTGGCATTATTCACATTAAAATAAACACAATTTTTAGCATAGAAAATATTACATTATTGTCATCGGACGTTGTATTATTTGTACTCGTATTATAATTGTGTGTTAAAGAATAAAATATAGAACTCCACATTAGAAATTTAAACAATACCATTGTTTGTTAAATTTAGTTAAATAAAATACCTCTGTTTTTGCTGTATGGAATATTATGTAATACACGTAATGTTCTGTTATTTTTAATATATAAGGGTATAATATATATTATAAACAGTAAACACTAGTCAGTGAAACGATTCCAATCACTTGGGTAGTACCATTCTGAGTAATAACAAAATTTAAGATGGATTTTGAATTTTAATTAATAAAAGATTAATTATTAATTATTATTAAATCTATCAAATTTATGTACTAAAAATATTTTAATCACGTTTTGTTATTAGTGATTTAATTTCTTCAATATATATATATATATATTAAATAGTCAAGTACCACGTTATATATCCTTTGTTCGTAAATACAGGCTTAAACCTACTATAGGAAATACGTAAATAATGTGATCAGTTGAGACAATTTTTATTGCCTTTGTCAAATAGTTTTTGAACGTTCTGTAAATGAAATGTAGATAAGTATCTACAGTGTCTTGATAGTAATTCTTAGATAGTAGAAGCAATTTAACACTGTCCATAGTAACCACTTCGGAAAATATTTTCTGTGTACGCCACTGATACACAACAAGTATAAAAATATTAAGAGGAGAAAAATAGTACCCACATTATCTTCATCGATTAAACGGGAAATACTTCAAAATATTTAACAGTTTCAAATCAAAATTATGGAATATATTGTCATATTATAGGTTAAATATTTATCACCATACTTAAACTGTAGAATATTTTTATGATATGACATCCATTTTGTAAAATATTGTTTAACAAAGAAGTGTTTGCTTTTTACGCATATTCGTAAACTATTATGACTTCAAAACTATATTTTATACTAATTATATAAAATTATCTTAAAAATATTCTTCTCTTTAAATTTGTAAATTAAAATATTTACCTAGACGTAATGCTATAATTTTGTTGGAATAAATTAATAATAGTAAATTAAAACTTCCCGATAAATAGACGAATTCAATAAATAACATACAGGAGAAATTTTTTCATTGGAGTTCTAAGCTAACAATTTTTATTATTTTTATTTCAGTATCTTTCCGAAATGTAGAGATATATAGTTCAATACTTAACCGTTGGTAAAAATCGACTTAAATCTCTAGGGTACTAAGCATATCGTCGATTATCGTTAAATACCGATGTTCACTGTTATATAATCATGTAAATAACCTCAAAATTACAAAATCATATTTTCGTTGTTGTAAAAATATTTATTTTATACAAAATTAGGGTTACAATTATTATTTTCTTAATACTTAACAATATTACCAAAAATACTTACAAGTATTATAAACTAAATGTAAAATAAACATACATTTTTGATGGACGACTAAAAGAATGAATACCAATACATCATCATTATATTAAGTGTTTGATTACCGAAATGACAACTGTTATGTAAGTATAAGGATTCAAAATTTAATTAAATTCTATACATGCAATATGATAAAAAAAATTGATAGAACAATTAAAATTAATAATAAATTAATAATTATTAATTAATTTTTTTTAATTAATTATTGTAATACGAATTGTAAATATTTAAGAGATGCAGAAATGAATTAAAAACGATCCATTATAATTTGTAAATTTACTTATATTTTATTTCATTACTTTAGCTTTAAAATAATTCTTATTCTTTACCAATAATACCAATTAATTTTCAATGCTATTTTATTATTGACCAAAACTATGCAAACAGTTAGTGCACAATGGAAAAAATTAATTTTTTGTTGTTTCCTTTTCATTATGTTTTCATTGCTGAGAACAATAAAAACAACCTCATATACGTATTACAAATAATCATAAGTGATATATATATATATATATATATATATATATATGTATACGTCCTAAACAAATATAATTGAATAATATAGTTCATTTCAATACCGAATGGCAAATATGAAAGTTGATACATATCTCATGTTTAAGAGCTTTTCTGTCACTTATTACTATTCAATAGTATTTGGATGGATGCCAATTCGTATACCAAAGAACGAAAATGACAAGGTATATAATTTCGTCTACCTACAACCAAAAATGATGTTGTTCATCAAGATGAACTGAAACATGACTAATCGTTTATGATTTTTTACAGAAAACCAAGAATTCATGGTGTATACCGAGTATAATTTTGTCAATTTGTTACATCGTACTGGTAATAGTTTCCGGAAATACAACACAAAATTTAAGAAATGCGATCAAGTACCAAGGAAATAGAACTTCAAGCAATGTAAATACTTCTTATGATCTATCTTATATCTTCTTGTAATTCTTATAGTATAAGATAATCAAGTAATAGTATATAATTACTATGTATATACGATAACATTAAAAATATTCTTGTATATATAAACGCACTTCGTACAATCGACGGTGGCCATTGTAATATATTTTTAATTCTAGTTAACAACCCACGACCGTATTCAAATAATAGTTGGACCAATGTTTCTAATATCTTTGTGGTTAAATCAAACGATTATCATCATCATATATATATTAATGCCGTTTCATTTAATGGGACTGAGAAAAGTTTTTGAGCTGTTTAATAACTTTTTTAAATATCATGGATCGATTATAGGTTAATAAAAACGTTACGAAAACTAATTATATTGAAATGCAACCGTGAATAAGCCGTGATATACTTTTTATACAGGAAATAAAAACATGATGAACAAGATTGCCCGCAACGTCAACATTGAATGTATCATGTTGATTGTATTAAATACCGTATTCTCAATAGTATCAGTTACGACAAGTTTCAGCCGAATAAGACTATCCTTTGCATGGAAACTCTTCATTATGGTGGTACGAGTAATAATATAACAATTTGTAATATATGTGTATTATAACCAAAGCCGTATTTGGGTGGGAGTCCAGAATGTATAGACCCCCCCGCGAAAATTTCTTTAATATTTTACGAATGTTTAAAATACTTATTTATTTTTAATACCAACATAAATATTTTCAGTCAAAAATGACTTAAGCTCCAATTAATCATTGACTGCTTTTAATTTTATATCATAATATCATATGAAAAAATGATATAAATTTTAATAAAAAAAAGATTAAATATTTTTTTGTCTTATTTTTAACCAAATATCAAAAGTTAAAATCTAAATTCAATAAAATTACAATATACATGTTTTGGATCTCTCCCGAAAAAAATTTCTAGATACGGCCTTGATTATAACTGCGTTTAGATAAAGTAGGATCTGAGGTCAAACTGAATGGTTCAAAAGATAATATTTATAAGATAATATTATTCAAAATAAAATTTTCGAAATTGTAAAATGTCAGAATCTTTCTATCTCTCTGTCTCTTCTATGAAAAAAATCCTTTCAGAATATTACCTAACATTTATATCCATTCATTAAAATATTATGAAATCGTCGTAGTTTATATTGCAATAATTTATTTAAAGTTCTTTTGAATGAATTTATATTATTAGAACTGAATTATTTAAAACTCTTAGTATGTATTATACTATTGAATTTAAGATTTTTATGAAAATTAGATAAAATTCTAAAATATTATTAATCATTTAAAAAATATGTAACACATATAATTATAAAAATTTAGTTTTATTTAATCTGATCACAAACAATTATGTAACTTTTTCAATATTCTAGGATAATGTTATCCACAAATTGGAGGCACTATCGTTATGTATTCAATTTTGGTGTATGTGTTCGGTGCTAGCGAAATGTTTTAAATGTATCAATGCATCTTTGGATAGACTTCGAATACGGAAAAATCAAGGTAATTACTCAAATTGTAATTAAATAATTATGCGAATCATTTAGATTCAAAGTTCATCAATTTTTGGAGAGGATTATAGTGATGGATAAACCACTGGATCTATTCATTTTGTCGGACGACTTCACGTTACCAACTAACATAGTTGTCCATCTTCGACAGTTGAACCGCGCCCACATCGATCTCTGTTCCATTCTCGAACATATAAACAACATCTATCAAGTAACTGATACACCGAAACAAAATAGCGAGAGCGAATGATTTAACTTACACAGTTAATTGTACCAATTAACAGGTGCTGATTCTTTTGAGCATCATCACCTGTATATTGAGTATGCTGCCACATTTATTCGTCGTAGGTATAATCATGGCATATTCAAATTTCCGAATAACGCCCCAGATATCTATGGTCATATGGCCCCTGCATTATATGATGAAAGTGTATATCGTGTGTAGGGCCGCTTCGATTGCGTCCAACGAAGTAATAGATCCACATTATATGGAGGGACTTACTTGATAAATGAATCAATGTTTTAGGCTAGACGGACGAAAACTATTCTTAACGCAGCATTTCACAAGCGTTTCACCGAAGACGAGAAAATTAGAGTTAAGTATTAGACATTTTTTTTAACCATTAATAACCAATAACCATTTAATAATGTTCATAATATTAATAGTATAGATAGGCATAAATAATTAAAATATATAAAGGAGTATTCTTATAGCTGTTCGAATTATTTTACACAATAAAATTCAACGAACAAGATTAACCTATAAAAATTTGATCTTATTATTTAGCATAAATTTAGATACAAAAGACAATAAATATGCATACATATAATTATTTAAAAATATATAGAAAAAACTAGTTCTTTAAACATGAAAGTTAGTTAATTAATAGCATTCACTTTGAAATAAAGTATAAATTAATTTATTCACCTATGTGTCCTACTAAAAATCGTTTACCATTACACATTTCGATTAGCTTGATTCATTTTTATATTATAAAAACGTGCAGTATACAACCTAGCTTAACCTAAATCAGAGAAAGGC